CGCACAGATGCATCTGGCACATTTGGTTCACTACTGGGGTCTACCAGATGGGCCATAAGCAATTTATCGAACTGGAGTTCATTGGTGCCTCGCCACCTGTCATTCTCTGTCGCTGCCGATCGGGTATTTATTCAATCAGGAATGGGCGCCTACCGATCTATTGGCCCCACGGAGTAAACAAGCTACGAGCACTGAGTAATTTCTGAAATGATTCACTTGATATATACGTATATGTAGCCAAGCAAGGCCGAAACAGTTCTGCATCAGTCTACTCCCCGGACTTTGTTCTTTCCTATTGCTGTCATAGCTTGGGCGACTTCGGCTTGATAGGTGGTTACCTGGTCGTGGCACCTATCATCCGTAGGAGCTTGTTTGCTTTTGGGAAGCCAATGGATCAGTGTGTGCGCATTCCTCGGGGAATAAACACCCGACGTACAGCGACAGAAAATGGCAGGTGGTAAAGCACCGATGAACTTCGGTTCGATGAACTGCTCATGACCCATCTGGTAAACCCCAGTTGTGTACCAGCTGCGCCAGGTGTGTCTGTGCGCATGTTTGTGTTTCTCTTCCCAGCTGCTGGTGGCCAGGGTTATGGTTGGCCGAACAAAGACAAAAAAACTCGAAGCCGTTTGTACCGATCTACCCCCAGGCTCTGTCCTCTCCTCTCCTCTCTGCGATTAAGGTTAGGGGTTGGAGTTGGGTGCTAGGGGTTGGAGATTGGAGGTTAGGGATAGGGGTCAGGCTGGTTCCTATCTACTGCAGGTACGGCTACGAGATAAAATACGACCTAATTTTGTGCCAGATGGTTATACCGCACTCCCGACAAAGGTTCTAGCTAAATTACCAAATGTGTTTTCTCAGTGTTTCGGCCGCTGCATGACACAGTTGCAAGGGGTTCGGCTCATTAGTGGGTCCCTCAGATCTCTCTACGCGGTTTCTGATACGTGCACTCCAGAGAAGAACCAAACTAGTAATTTGGAAATTATTAAGTGCAGCATGATAAGAACTTATACAACGGCTGCGCGAATCCGAAGGCTCAGGACAATAAACAAAATGTTCCGGTGCTCGAACCCTCTTCTTCTTCTTCAATTATACAACTAGTAGTACTACGTGTTTGTAGGACGAACATTACGTGGTCATGTGACTCCTCCTCCCTTGACCTCCGTATTTTTGTTTACCTGCGCTTCTGTCCGCTTCAAGCTACTCGCGACTGGGACTGCGCGAGGTTTGTCATTAGCCTCACGAGAGCTCGAAGCCAATCAACGCTGTCCCTTCTCTGATTGGCTGGGCAACACTAAATGAGACAGAGCGAAAAGCGCACGGACGCCCTGACACAGACAAAGAACTTGCCTGGAGAGAGAGCTTACGACAACTGCTTTCAGAGCCTCTTGTACGCTGCTGCACGCCAATAAAGTAGTCCAGCACAATACGCCTTTCCTGACTCCCGAATTTGGAATATTTCTGTTGTCGTCCACGCCATACCATCACGACAGTTATTCCACAGTGGTTTATTGTCTTCGGCCAAAATGTTCATTGACATTTCGGATCTCGCCCTAAAAAAGTCATGGCCCATGCACATAACTCCGTACCCTGCACTTAATAGTTTTCGAAATTATTAACTTGGTTGTTCTCTGGAGTCCACATACCAGAAACAGCGTAGAGGCAACTGGGGTACCCAATGAGGAGCCGAACTCCTTGCAGCTGTCTCATACGGTAACAGAGACATCGGCGCAACACGCTACTTGGCTATTGGCTAGCACCTATGTCGGGAGTACGGTACAACCTTCTGTCATATATACAGTACGTGACCTATCTCATGAAACCTGATGACGGGAAGTGATATGAAAATTGCTGAACGTCTTAGACGTTGTGCTAGACTTCGCTTGCGCATCTGAGCGTGTTTTGATCGACCGTGGTTATGTAGCCCCACCTGAAGTAAACAAACCTCAGTCACCTCTAATACGGGACCGGCGGTAAAAGGGGGTTTTTACAGGTGGGGCAGGGGAGCGCACAGGTTACGAGGCCTAGCAGTTGTATGCAAAAGAAAAGCTATTGGGAATGCGCGGTTGTGATTTGAATAGTTGAGAAATATCTGTGTTAACCCCTAACTATAATGCCTAGTCCTAAACCCTAATCCCTAACCAAAACCACCAACTCTAACCCTTAAATCAAACCCCAACAATATTAGGCCCATCAGGTGGGGCCGCCAAACAACATCTTACCATTGATTTTTGTCTGATACTAACCGTGGGAATCAGAGTGTTAGCACACTGGATATTTTGGTGAAACAAGATTTTTATCGATTTTTAGAAGTCAGATTATCAAATCTCTGCAAATTGGTGCCCTAAAGTGCAGTAATAACGCACGCAGGCAATTCTTCGTTTAAATAAGCCGAAATTGTCTTGCCGTTTGGAAAATTATACCGGTTGTCACGGAAATGACTACCATCGAATAGTCAGCTGCAGTTCTGAAAACATGAAACATTAGTTTTTTGCGGTCTGGCCTCCGTCCATACGTAGTTTGGAAATGACGCGAGCAAAGCGTTAACAATTTCGACCATATATCAGTATTTGTATGGGCACTCCACAGTAATCGTAGAATGCAGACTAAAACTGAAAAAAGATAACGAAAATGGACGCAATATAAAGAGAAAGCATGTTCTTCCGTTTGCGGTCAGTACTTTTTAGCGACGTGGAAGAAACGGCCAAAAGCGTCACGTTTTTTCTTGACTTCACTGCGTAAAAGTGTAAAGTACACAGACATGCGTCCACGGAATGCAATATTAACGCACCCCTTAAAAAGTTAACTTAGTAGAGAAAGTTGTCTATGTGATCGAAAGCATTTTTTCTGTTGACCTTTGTTGTGGACGTTCATTTTAATGGGCGAGGAGGTTTCCTGTTTGAGCGAGTCTTCAAATGTGAACTGGACGATCTTCTACACGAAGAAGAACGCCTAGATACTCTTTGGTTCGGTAAATGCCTTCAAAAAATATCTTTTAAAAGTATTAACAAACACAAAATAAAGAGTCTGTCCTTATTGACATTCGAATGAAAACACTGCAAATCATGAAGTATTAACCGACATTTTAAGTTGAACTGAAGCTCATCGCAATCTAGAAAAAGTAAAAAGTGAGAATAAATTTCATGGAAGAAAAGTTCTCGTTATACACAGAAAAGGGTCTGTTTGAACTTACGCCTGCCAATTCTACATAAATTTATTAGCCGCTGACCCGCACGGCAACGTGTGACCTTACGAAAACCCTTGTTCCCTTGACGTCCCTACCGGCGAAACCAAGCAAATTCCTGTTTGCCTTGTTGAAACGCATCTTAATTAATTAAAAGGCGTAAAGAATGCCGTGAATAGAGAAACCGTTTTAGAATCTGAACTCAGAATATAGGCCGTCGGAAAACCGCCAAACCTGAAGTTATACTAATTCTTAAAAGTTATGTAGACGCAAATTTCACTAAAAGACTACTTTCAGAGGTTATTCTATTTGTGCTGTTATATTTACTCAGTGTTTTGAATGGACAGGCTTTCTGTATATCGAAAACTGAAACGCACAATTACAACCGTTTTTAAAGTTTTCGGGATTTTCCGCCTTTCCAAAAAACTTGCTATTTCTAAACAACGTTACATGGCTTTTAATATATCCATTTTGTTTTTGATTCTCTTAAAGTTGTTACTTACGAATATAGATAAGGGGGACCACGCATTGGTATCGGTTTGCGAGTGATTAAAAGTCATTCGTCAATTCCGACGCCTTTCGTGAGCTAGGTCACCTGTATAGATAGGCAGAAGAGTATTGCCGACCAAGACAAGGACGTCTGGAATGGCCATTTCTGGCTTATTGGCCGTCGTCAGCCAGCCACGTACATATATAAAGGCCGAGGGTATCTGTCTGCACTTCAAAGGAGAGACACCGGCATGTATCGTCGAGCAGAAGGGCCTACAACTAACTCCGCACAGCAAAATCATGTCACGCGCCAAAGTGCTATTCCGCAATAATAACAGCCGAGACTTTCTGGGTGAGCCAGTAAGCCAGGAGATTCTATTCACAGGCGCTCTGATATCGAGATACTGAGGCGGAATCAAAAAACTGGCATCTCCCCAAAAGAGACAACCACTTAACCTTCTCCATTACGACAGCAGCCATTCCAGACTCTGCTGTATCGAATTGCCGCACCCAGAGTATGAGAAACCGGGTGGGGGGGAGGGACCCAGACCTCGACGAAGCCTCCTCCCTCACACCGGAACCCTGTTATTTCCATCAGCTACCACCTGGACCGCAAAATTAAGGAATGAGAAAGAGCGCCGAAATAGAGAAATCCAATCCTTAGTATCTTCTCATCAAACAAGGTCAGTCAGCGCCTGCTCATGCAACCGAGAGATCTGTTGGTGCTACTCGGGATGTAGCTCTGCCGACCGCATAGTGCCACATAACTGGCAAAGGAATGTCCACAGGGATGCGATAGCAAGAAATGACAGTGAGGGGGATGACAAGTGCTCAGTTTTCACCCATAAACAGTCCCAAAGTGCATATGCACTTGGGCGAGCCGAAAGCGAAACTGTCCGAAGTGTACTTACGGTCCTGAAATCTGTCGCGAACATACGTAACCGTTCAGAGGATCTACCCACGGTCTGTGTCTAATAAACGACTAGGAAAGATACATGAGTGACGACTAGGACGTTTCTGTACTAGAGTTGTCATTTTCCTGTCAGCGTTCTGATATCGAGATACGGAGGCGGAATGAAGAAACTGGCACCTCCCCAAAAGAGACAACCACTTAACCTTCTCCATTACGACAGCAGCCATTCCAGACTCTGCTGTATCGAATTGCCGCTTCCAGAATATGGGGAACCCGGGGGGAACCCAGGCTTCAATGACGCCTCCTCCCTCGTACCGACACCCTGGCATCTTCATCAGCTACCGCCTGGACCGTACAATTAAGGAATGAGAAAGAGCGCCGAAATAGAGAAATCCAATCCTTAGTATCTTCTCATCAAACAAGGTCAGTCAGCGCCTGCTTATGCAACCGAGGGATCTGCTGCTGCTGCTGCTGCTGCTGCTGCTGCTGCTGCTGCTGCTGCTGCTGCTGCTGCTGCTCGGGGTGTGGCTCTCCCGACTGCATAGTGTCGCATAACTGACAAAGGAATGTCCACAGGGATGCTATAGCAAGAAATGACTGTGAGGGAGAGGATAAGTGCTCAGTTTTCACTCATAAACAGTCCCAAAGTGCAAATGCACTTGGGCGAGCCGAACGCGAAACTGTCCGAAGTGTACTCACGGTCCTGAAATCTGACGCGAACATACGCAATCGTTTAGAGGATCTACCCACAGTCTGTGTCTAATAAACGACTAGGAAAGATAAATGGGCGATGAGGAGAATGTTCCTGTACTAGGGCTGCCCTTTTCTTGTCAGCTTACCTTACCTAACCCAAGGGTTGTAGGGCTTGGGACTCCGACTCGGATTCTTTGGACACTGAGAGTTTCGAGGTCCAACGCACTGACGTTTGTCCACGAGTCTCCTGTTATGTCGATTACAATTGTAAATCCTTCAATATCAACGACCCCTGGCTCGAGTCCCAGGTTGTCCAGGTAAAGTCGGCCGCAAGGTCTACAACACTGAGCCCTAAGATACGACGGAGCTGTGGAGACCCCTTCAGCATAATTAATGCAATCGATCACAATGGACAGGACGCTGAGTTTGACGTCCACTGGTAGAGGGTTGGAAATATAAACCCTCCAATATCAAAGACCCCTGGCTCGAGTCTCAAGTTGTCCAGACGTAGGATTGGTAAAGCCGGCTGACGACAAGGGTCGCCAAGCACTGAGGCTCGAACCCGCGCTCCGGTGGTTATTAGTCCAAAGCCCTAGCCACTGAGCCAGAGGCTCGTTGTCCTGTCGGTCTCAATGGCGTATACTAACTATGGTAGAGGGCGTTCACTGATCGCGTTACGACATCCGCTCGTCCCGTTGTGTCTCGAAGCTCTATCTAGAGCACCTTTAGTCAGTCACATTGCGGCTATTAACGTATGCAGAATGAGGTTGACTAGCATTCACCGATAACATTGCCAGATATACGTGTCCCGCTGTGCCTTGAGACTCAATTTAGAATTCACGAAGGCAGTCGCACAGCGACCATGAATGTTCCACCAATGTTTTCGCTACTGCATGGCGCAACTGTGGGGACTTTGGCCCCTCATTCGACGTCCAGCGCTCCGCTTTTGATTTCTAGTGTAAGAAATCCAAAGAATTTTGAAGCAAAAATTATTAACGCCAGGACTTTGAAAAGAGTGTCCGGAACATAACTTTTTAAGGTCGGCCTACTCTGGCGGGTTGTAACATTCGAGAAACCGTCTCGGGAACTTCCTTAATACAGGCAATGGTCCCTTCTTGCTCTGTCCGCTCAGCGCCCGTTTTGTTCATCGAGTAGACCCTCATAGGAAGTACAGCTCATCGATCCCTTATAACAGTTCGTCATCGTTTGGTACAACTTAAGGACACTCAGTCATTCACGAAAGCCCAATAAAAAAAGCTGAGATTATGCGGTTTCAGCTACTTTGAGGGAACGGGGGGGGGAATTTCTAATGCGCCTACACGAACACAAACCGGCAACTGAAGGCTAAACCTAAACTCTCGATTCGCAACGGACATTGGAGGAGCTGGCCGCATTAGGGAACGACCATCTTAGGCGGGCGTAGCTCGAAGACTGGACGGCTGATATTTGAGGTGTGGTATTCGGTTGCCATCTCCATCAAGAAGCGTCTTGACCTTCCTGTGGCGTAATGCGTCATTTCGTACACAAATACCGGGACAGGACGGCCACACAGAACCCAATAGAACAGCTCAGGCAGGATTAGACGGCGATTCCACCCGACGGGGGAGGGGGTAAAGAGCCACCAAACCGATCATACCTGAAGAAGCTCGACCACTTGCCATAGAAGTAGTGATTCCTGATGTGCGCAAACCTCAAGCCCGCCAAATACCTGCGAAAAGGCCTAGCCAGCGAAATCAGAAGAAAATCGATAAGCCCAAGACTGACTAGCTCGGCACATTACTTCCAGTACTGTTCGATTTTTGTGCATTTGGCGCCTTGGTAGTGGCGATCCGACCAAGTAATTTGAAACATCGGCAGCTGTGTCTATTCCGTTGGGCCCTACCTATTGCTTTCTAAAATGATCATCCATACTGTCCCAACATTATCAGTCTATTTGTGAGGCCTCTTCATTGAGCCCCGAGGCACAATGGGACGAGCGGGTGAACGCACTTCCAAGATAAGTATATATTCTCGATTGCAATCGGCCCCACTGGTAGAGTGTTGAGCTTAATGCCGAGAGCTGGAGACTCAGGTGCAGCACAACTCCAGTTTTGGTAAGGATGGCTGACGACGGCTTATAAGCCAAAAATGACCATCCCAAGTTCCCTTGCCTTTGTAGGGATTCATTTCAGCATATATATACACTCTAACGCGGACAGCATCAACCGCCACGTTGACCTAGAACCCATTATGAAGGTCTAAGATCACGCCTCACTAAATCGAGCCCCACGCCTCATCCAGACGTCCGCAGTTCCGCCAACCTACATTCCCCCTCCCCTCTAACACAGGGAGCCGTAACTGTTCTCTCCCCACACCCGGCTCATAACCCAGCATGACTCCCTACCCTGGTCAGTCCATCAATGTTTGTCCTGTCGCGTCAACTAGTCTGGTGTGACTGTCTCACTCTCACATTTACCTTCATTTCGTTTGACGACGGGTTGGTGTCACCAATTCGAAAATTCACGAGTACAACTCGATTTTTTCCGAAGAACCTCTTTATTATATCGTCTCGGAATGCATACCACTTCTACTCTACAACATATATGTGGTGGAGGGACGATCACAAAAACCATGTATTTATTGGACTGATGTTTCGAAAGAAAACATGCTTCCATCCTCGGAGGTGGGTTTGGTACGGCAAGTCGCAGTATTTAAGGGTTTTTCTCCATGCTGACGTGTCACTGACTTCAAGCGCGCTACATCACAGGGTTGGCTATTGTTGTCAAGATGGCATCGGCTCCTCCTCATCCTTTGTCGGGTGTGCGGAGGGAGGCGGTGTCGAGGTGACCGCGGCCATTGTCCGCTGTCCGCTCTCCACGTATCTCGCCTTCCTGCCCCGTTCACACCTGTCCGTAACCGTGCAAACAGTGGTTGTCACTCCAGTGTTGATGTCGGGCTGGGGGAACCTGTCACTGTCGTTCGTTCTCCTGGGTTTCCGTTCGCGTCGGCGTGTCCCCTGTTTTTGTCCGTTTCCGATACCTGTCCATACTCGTACGTGTTCTCTATTGGTCTGGTTATGACTACCGCCGTCTCCAGCCTGACGGCTCGCCAGTAGACATGCTTATTAGACTTCACGCGTAGGGCTTGGTAGGCAACCGACAAAGTTACAGAGAGATTCGCCGAGGTGGTTGTCATGTGACAGGCTTCGAGCGTTTCTCTGACCGGGCGAGTGAGTTCCGTAGAAAAGATCGGTTGGCGCCGCTCTACCATTCTATGTTCCCAATCGAAACCGAACGCACAGCCGGCCCGTAGCCCAGTGTTTGGAGGCGTTGGACTTATAACTAACAGGTTGCGAGATCGACCTTCGGGTGATCCACACTACGGGGTTGGGTGCGACCGGCTGACGACGGCTAATAAGCCAGAAATGGTATTTACAGTTTCCCTTGCCTTTGTTCGCAAAACCATTCTGTCAAAATATGCAGAATGGTACATCTCTAACTAGGAGAAGTCGACAGTACGTCGGAGAGGCCGACTTGGAACGTGAGTGCACAGTATAAACGGATGATATGAAAGGTTGGTCATGGAGCTCACTCGTCCCATTATGCCTTCGGGGTCTCCCTCGAGCACAGGCGGCCGCCGCACAGCGGCGCATGATATAGGCAGAATAGCATAACCGACAAAGGCTAGGGAGACTGGAATAGTCATTTGTGCCTTATTAACTATCCTAAGCCAGACAGAAATGACCATCTCATCCTCCCTCGTCTTTGTCCGTAATGTCATTATGTCCATAAGACGCGCTGCTATGCGGCTGCTGGCGGGAATCTAGAGAGAGAGAGAACCCCAAGGCATAACGGAACCAGTGAGCTCCGCA